GTTACACTGGAGCCATTAACTCCCTCACAGTCAGGGCCCTGCACATGTGAGTGCTAAGTGGGCTCCCATTAGTGTCCATAGCATTGTAGAAATCCCAAAATAGAGAAAGCAAAAGACATGGACTGGCTCTTAAGGTAAGAGGCTGTCAGGATGAGGCCAGCATAGACTGCAATTAGAATCAAGAGTGATGGTACACCAGAGGTATCTGGTCTACCATCCATCACAGAGAATGTGGGACAGGCTACTCCCTGACTTGACCCTTGGCATGACTGAGATACAAAGACAGGAAGGGTATGTGGCCTTAGGCCACGCCATGGCAGAGAAAAGTTCAGGGCCTTTCTACATTCCTTTATCTGCTCTCTCCTACCTTGAGGGGCCCCCTGACCTGTAGCCTTCCAGGCACTCATGCAATGGCAACTCCTGAAATTTCCACTGCATCACTGCCTGTCTGCAGGGCTCTCCCCTGCCCTATAGCCTGAGTTATAGCTTCCCAGTAGTCCCACCAATTGCCATTAAATCTCCCACTCCTTACTGGGAGGACTCTACTTACTGTGTCAAGGAAAAAAGATGATTATACTCTCTCACATGGTTGTAATTTGGGCCTAAAATAAATGACCCTAGTGGTAGCATTTCAGGTAGGCAGATCCAAGGAAGAAAGATCTGTAGACAGAGTTGGGAAGAGAGTCAAAAAGCCAATGAGTCTCCCGATCCTGAGAGATGCCTTGATGGAGCCACAAACTGAACTGATGTTTTCCTGAATCCATCTCATTTCATGTGACAGGATGGAAATGCTTCCTTTCTTAGCCAGTGTTGCTTGTAACGAGTTCCCTGCAGCTCAGGGAAGAGAGCAACATGTACCGCTTTGTTGCTTCCTGTATAGAGGGGGCAGGAATGAGGAAGTTCATAGAACACTGTCCTTAGCAGCTGCCACAGGAGACCCACCCCAGGCTCTGAATGCAGAAAGGCACACGGCAAGAAATTCCCATCCTGCACATATGGGTGTGATGGACACCCTTACTTCTTGGACTTAAGTTTTGAGGCAACTAGACTGAAAAGGGCTCCTGCTTGATTTAAACAATTGAGCTCTTCCTCTTGGCTCAAGTATCTTGTTGCCTTTTGCACTGGCTTTGCCACTGAGCTTGGGCAAGACTGAGCCAATGCTGCATGAATAACAGAAGATGCTGGTCCTATTTATTTCATGTACTGTGCCTCTGGTAAGTCATGGTTAGTGCTATGGTATTTTCATTTTTCTAGATTTCTTAAAAAAAAATTTTTTTTTTAAGTATTATTTTGAAGTTTACCATAACTATTAGCTCTAGTTCTATCCTAATTTGTGCTTCCCTTGAAACAATTTCCAAAGGATATTCTTTCCCAAAAGGGAGATTGGGGGGAGTTTAGAAAACTTAGATTCTGGGCTTTTAAAAAGTTGACATATGATGATTGTACTTATTTATGGGGTGCATAGTGATGTTTTGACACATATAATGTATAGTGATCAGGGTTTTTAGCATATCCATCATCTCAAACATGTATCATTTCTTCGTGTTGGGAACATTCACTATTCACCTTCTAGCTGTTTGAAACTATATGTTATTGTTAACGATAGTCATCCTGCACTGGTAGAGAACACTAGAACTTAGTCCTCCTATCTAGCTGGAATTTTGTATCTTTTAACAAATCTCTCCCTATCACTGTCTTCCCCCTACCCTTCTCAGCCACTGGTATCCTTCCTTCTATTTTTTACTTCTGTGAGATCAACTTTTTCTTAGCTTCCAACATGAGGGGGAACATGCAGTGTTTAATGTTCTGTGCCTGGCTTATTCACTTAACACAATGCCCTCCAGTTCCATCCATGTTGCTGTGAATGACAAAATTGCATTTTTTTAAATAGCTAAATAGTATTACTGGTGTATATATACCACATTTTCTTTATTCATTCATCTGTTGTTGGACACCTAGGTTGATTCCATGTCGTCATATTGTGGCTATTGTGACTAGTGCTGTAATAAACATGGGGGTGCAGATGTCTCTTTGATATACTGATTTCCTTTCCTTTATATAAATTCCCAGTAGTGGGGCCAGGCATGGTGGCTCATGCCTGTAATCCCAGCACTTTGGGAAGCTGAGAGGGGCAGATTGCTTGAGCCCAGGAATTTGAGACCAGCCTAGGCAACATGAAAAAAGCCCATCTCTACAAAAAAAAAAAAAAAAAGCCACGTGTGGTGGCACGTGCCTATAATTCCAGTTACTTGGGAAGCTGAGGTGAGAGGATCGCTTTAGCCTAGGCTGTTGAGGTTGCGGTGAGCTGAGGTCGTGCCACTGCACTGATTTTATAAAAAGGAATTTCAATCTTTAGCATTCATAGAGATATGTCAAAAAGGCATCCAACAATTTCTAAATTCCCCTTGTACAGGCCCCAAACCATCTCACAGCAGTGAGACCCTGTCTCAGAAAACAACAAACAAACAAACAAACAAACAAACCCCAAAAATAAATAAATAAATTTCCAGTAATGGGATGGGATTGCTGGATCATAGTGCTATTTGTAGTTTTTTGAGGAACCTGCATACTATTCTGCATAGCAGTTGTATTGGTTTACCCACTGACAGTGTTTAAGAGTTCCCTTTTCTCTGGATCTTTGCCAGCATTTGTCATTTTTTGTCTTTTTGATATTAGCCACCCTAACTGGAGTGAGATGATATCTCATTATGATTTTGATTTTCATTTCCCTGATGATTAGTGATGTTGAACATTTTCTTCATGCCTTTGTTGGCTATTTCTATGCCTTCTTTTGAGAAATGTCTATTCAGATTATTTGCCCTTTTTAACCAGTTTTTTTTTTTTTTTTTTTTTTTACTGTTGAGATATTTGAGCTTCTTGTGTATTCTGGATATTAATCCTCCTCCATTGTGAATAGTTTGCAAATATTTTCTCCCATTCTGTAGGTTGCCCTTTCACTCAGTTGTTTCCTTTGCTGTACAGAAGCCTTTTCAGCTTGATGTGATCCCATTTGTTAATTTTTGCATTGTTTATCTGTGCTTTTTGAGGTTTTACTTAAGAAATCTTTGCCCAGACCAATGTTCTAAGTTGTTTCCCGCATGTTTTCTTCTAGTAGTTTTGTAGTTTAAGGTCTTACATTTAGGTCTCAGATCTATTTTGAGTTGATTAAGGATGAAACGTGGGAGTCTAGTTTCATTCTTCTGCATAGGGATATCTGGTTTTACCAGCACTTTTTATTGAAAAGACTCTCCTTTCCCCCCATAAGTGTTTGTGGCCTCTTTGTAAAAAATCTGTTGGCTATAGATACATGGACTAATTTCTGGGTTTTCTATTCTGTTCCTTGGGTCTATGTGTCTGTTTTTATCCCAATACCATTCTGTTTTGGTTACTACAGCTTTGAATATTTTTACAACTGGTAGTATTATGCTTCCAGCTTTGTTCTTTGTGTTGAGGATTACTTTTCCCTGAGGAGGCTATTCTGGGTCTTTTGTGGCTCCATAGAAATTTTAAGATATTTTTTCCCCACGTTTCTATGAAGTATGTCATTGGTATTTTGATAGGGATTGCATTGAATCTGTGGGTTGCTTGGAGTAGTATAGTCATTTTAATAATATTAATTCTAATATTAATACTTCTAAACCATGAGGATAAGATGCCTTTTCAGCTTTTTGTATTCTCTTCAATTTCTTTAATCAGTTTTGTAGTTTTCCCTGTAGAAGTCTTTTGCCTCCTTGGTTAACTTTATTCTCAGGTTTTGTTTTTTGTTGTTGTTTTTTGTTTTGTAGTTATTATAAATGGATTGCCTTCCTGATTTCTTTTTCAGCTTGTTCATTGCATATAGAAATGCTACTGATTTTTGTATACTGATTTTGTACCCTGCAATTTTACTGAATTATTTAATCAGTAATAAGAGGTTTTTTGTAGTCTATAGGTTTTTCTATACATAAAATCACATCCTCTGCAAATAGGGACAACTTGACTTTTTCCTATCTAATTTGGATGCCCCCCCCTTTTTTTTTCTATTGCCTAATTGCTCTGGCTAGGACTTCCAGTACTATGTTGAGTAAGAGTGGTGAGAGTAGGCATCCTTGTCTTTTTCTAGTTCTTAAGAGAAAACACTTGTAGTTATTCCCGGTTCAATATAATATTAGTTGTGGGTTTGTCATATATGGCCTTTATTGTGTTGAGGTATTTGCCTTCTATACATAACTTATGAGAGTTTTTGTCACGAAGGGATAGGTTTGGTTTTATTACTCAGAGTCTATTGAGAAAAGTAGAACTTCTTAAAGGTGTGTGTGTGTGTGTGTGTGTGTGTGTGTGTAAAGTGTGGGGGGAGCAGTTTATCCTTTTACAATTATGGGATCTGGTTAAGGAGTCTGTGAGGCTATCATCTTTGTGTCTAATGATGGAGTTTGAAGTCCTTTGAAAAGATAGTTGGCAAGTACAGGTGAGAAAATGGAACAGCTGGAACCTACAAGCATGAAGTGGAACCTATGAGAAAGGATAGAAACCAGTGTCAGTTCCACTGCCTCTGAGTGGATGGTTTGCATGTCCTTCAAGAGAAGCTGGCACCCTCTGTCATAGAACTAAACACACATTGGTCTGGAAGTTGAGAAGCTGAAGAAGGATCCAGGGGAAGGTAGAACTGCTATAGGCTTGACCACTACGCCTTACCAACAACATGAACCAGCGGATAAAGGATAACATTTGTGAGTGACAAAACGGCTGCTGCTTAACTTCCAAATCTCACACAAGGGTTTCTTTACTGGCATAGCCTAACCAGAAACATATAGGAAAGGGAATTCTGTGAAATGTAGTTCAGCCTAGCCAAGCTGACATATTACAAAACTACCACATGTCCTAAACAAAATAATAGTAAATTATTGTTTGGTAAAATATTAGCTACCATCATTTGAGCAGTGTTCCAGAAACTTTATAGAAGTTATTTCATGTCATACTCATCCTGTGGGAAAAGTATTCATTCTATCTTCATTTTACAGGTGAGGAAACCAAGACTGAGAAGTTGCAGTGAGCATGGTATCATGGACCATCTGGAACTCAAAACCCCTCTCCTGTGGGGAACTCATCCCCATAGTTTCAATTATTCAGTCTACCCTTAGTCAGAGGGATGAACACGTACACAGCCTTGGCCAGTCAGAACATCTTACCCTGTTGGTCACAATGGCTGGTCCATCAACAGCCCTTGACCCAGGCTGAGTCAAACAGAAACTTCCCTGGAACTTTTCTACCAGGGAAGATGTGATCCTTGTCTCCAGGAAGTTGCCGCAAGGTAAATCTGGGGCTTCTGGTGGTCACTACACTCACAAAGTAGAGCATGCTTATCTGAAAGGTAGAAAAAAAGATCATTTGAGCCCCTCAATGCAGCAGTGCCTGAAATTTTCTGTACTCTTGAATCACCCACATTGCATAACCCTATAAACTTCTTGTTTGCTGAAGCTAGTTTGGGTTGGAGTTTTGTCAGTTGCTAAAAAGAGACTAATAAACAAATTGGTCTCAGAAGAGGAGTATTGTAAGGGATCCTAAAATGTAGATTCCTTATGCATGGAGGGGAGCAGAACCCTTGGGTTTTCCAAGTACATAAATCAATCCACTTTTGATTCTTCTGAAGAAAATGTAACTTGAAATCAAGAGAGTTATGTCTAATACAAAGGTTAAGCGATTTGCCCAAGATTACCCAGCTAGTTTAGAGGAAGTACTGGAACTCAAATCCAGGCCTGTCTGATTCCAAAGTGTAGGCTCTTAACCACTACATCATGCTGTAACCATGCTAATTTAGTCAGCACATCTGGGCTTACAGCAGGCTGTCTCCGGAGCTTCTTAATAAAGATGGAAAAAACTGCTTGAAGGAAAGTCTGAGGGGAGCTTTCCAAATGCCCTTTGGAAACAAAGGAGATTGTGGGGTGAAGCAAAAGTGGCTAGATTTTGAGGTCAAGAGCAAAGGCTTTGTTTTGGGATTACAGGCTCCTTTGGAGAAGGCAAGCAAAACAAAAAACTCTGGGATTCATGCAGCGGTCCTTCCTTATTTGTGCTTATCATTTGCATCCTTCATGCATAGGACTTGAATAAACAAAGCAAGTGGATGATTAAGGCAAAGTTCACCAGGGTCAATCCCCCAAATTCTAAACCCTAGAGGTTAAGTTGCTGCCTTATTTTTATTTATTTCCCAGGATACAGATTTTTTTTTTTTGAGTTGGAGTTTACTCTTGTCACCCCGGCTGGAGTGCAATGGCAGGATCTTGGCTCACCACAACCTTTTCCTCCCGGGTTCAAGCAATTCTCCTGCCTCGGCCTCCTGAGTAGCTGGGATTACAGGCATGTGCCACCATGTCCGGCTAATTTTTGTGTTTTCAGTAGAGACGGGGGTTTCACCATGTTAGCCAGGCTTGTCTCAAACCCCCGACCTCAGATGATCCACCCACCCAGCCCTTGCAAAGCAAATCCCAAAACTGGGATTACAGGCGTCAGCCACCTCGCCTGGCCTAAGATACAGATTTGAAAGTGTTCCTTCCCATTCTAGCATCCAGTCACCTCACAAGGAGAGAAGAATTTCTCTGTGACTAAGTTAAAGGTTTCCTGCCTTAGCTCGTCAATCACGTAGAAAACATCTGGTCTTCACTCAACAGTTACCACCATTTTAAAGCCTAAAGCCACTCCTCACCATTTTCTTCAAAGCTTATGAACTTAGTTTCACTTTATTGCATTTTTCAAAGTTTCAGTTTCCAATGATTTGGTTGGTGGCTCTCCAGACCATCTGCAGAGCCCTCTTTCTCTAGAGCAGTACCATCCAGTAGAACTTTCTGCAATGATGGGAACCTCTATCTATGTTTTCCCATTCCGGGGGTTAGGGGATGTTCCCATTATTGGGATGCATATGAGCCTCCCGTCAGTTTTAGCATGGGCCCCTTCTCAGGGTATCCCGAGAGCAGCTCCTGGCTATGCTACCCTCTGGTTGGCTGCCATGTTCTGGCTGGACATACTGTCTTGCTGTCTTTCTCTTATCAGCCACTAGCAGCCACAGGTGACTGCTGAGCACTTGAAATGTCATATGTGTGTCCAAGGAACTGAATTTAAACTTTTATTTACATTTAATTAATTTAAATTAAAAATAGTCACATGGAGCTAGCGGCTAACTCCCCCAATTACATGCAGGTCACACATGTTCTGATCTTGTTTCTAGTCTCCCAAGGATTATCCTTGCTGACTTTTGTTCAGTTTGTGGCCCACTAAGACCCTTTATGTTGTGTAACCCCTTCATGGTTTCCAGCTTCTATGTGAGGGTTTTGATGTGTTCTCATGGCTTCCATTCCGTATTTGTCACTACTGAAATATGATTTTACTCCTATTTTCCATAGTGTTTGGAATCGTTTGGCTTTGAGCAAAATGGATGATCATACCATGGAGTGAGCTGGTGGAGAATTACATAAGAATTCCCCAAACAAGCAAAATGAGAGATAAATGAAGAGCAGTTATGGCTTTTCCAACTAATTCATAATTTCTTTTTTTTTTTTTTTTGAGACAGGGTTTCACCCATCACCCAGGCTGGAGTGCAATGGCACGATCTGAGCTCACGGCAACCTCCACCTCCCAGGCTTAAGCAATCCTCCCATCTTAGCCTCCTGAGTAGCTGGGACTACAGGCATATGCTATCACACCAGGCTAATTTTTTTGGTATTTTTTGTAGGGACGGGGTTTCACCATGTTGCCCAGGCTGGTCTTGACCTCCTGGCTCAAGTGATCCTCCTGCCTTGGTCTCCCAAAGTGCTAGGATTATAGGCATAAGCCACCACACCCAGCTTGATTCATAATTTCTATTGCATCAGGGACTGCCACTGCTGTAAAAGTGGGGAAATGATAACATTGATTAGACTTCTACATGCCCTTATTTCTTCCCCCACTGCTTTCTCCTGAAAATCTATTTCCCTGATTATCCTGCTTTTCTATGTATTATCTTACTCTAGTGTTTGGAAATATTATCTCAAACTGGCCTAATTCTCGGAGGAGATGATAAAAGTTCGACAAAAATATTCATGAAATAGAAGTAGCTCAAAAGGTCTAATAATGAATATATTTGCCACCATGACTTTGCCCTTTTATAGTCTCATTGGCCTGAGACCTTGCTTTATACAAGAGAGTGGGACGCAGTTTTTAATATAAGATATGAGTTCTAAGACCCAAAAGATCAGAATATCTTTAATTTGATTAATACAACATATCATTTTAGCAGTTTTACTGCTCAAAGTTAGTAAAATGTGAACACCTACTGAAAGTTGATTTTTGAGACACCAACAAAAGACGATTGGTTATTTGCTGTCATTCTCTGGCACCACTGAATTATGTTTGTCTTGTGTTCAGTCACTGCCCCAATCAGTGAACGATGCTCCTGAGCAGCCCCAAGAATCCCAGTCCCTCCACCCTCTTGTACAGAGCCAGCACCTGTGTCATTTCAAGAAGATTTGCACAGAATTGACCTTACAAGTGAATGTTTAATTTTAAAAGCTGTACTTTTTTCCCCCCTATTTCCATTTTGGTAAGCAGACCAGATGCTTTACCAAATTTACCCTCAGCTAATTGCATAATTCAATGTCCTGAAATGTGCCCTTGTTTGCTTTAAACCTGCTGATTTGCAAAAGAAATTGTTCCAGGAATGTGGGTCAGATTGGACGCTCCTGTAGAAGCTGAGTTGACCAGGAAAGAGTGGTTCAAGCCTGGCTGGGGTGCTGCATGCCTGTAAATCTGCAGGAATAGCGCACCCTCCAGGGCAGGATTTTCACTATAATGATGAGGCTGCTGGAGGTGAGGGAGAACTGGGGCCTGAAAATGTGGACAAAAATCAGTTTGGCTCTGATCCACTTTTGGAATTCCCCTCAAGCTTTATATCTTGAGCAGGCTTTGGGTCAAGACTGAAATAGAAAGCTAATGCACAGCCAGAGGAAAACAATTTTAAAATCTGGCATTTGCTCTGCCTCTGTTCCTAGAGGCCCTCTGATGAGATGTATGTGAAGTATGAATGATCTTCCAGCAAGAACAGAATAAGAATGACGTTTCTCAGTTACTCTTCCCTGTTTGTGAATCTGGAACCTGACTCACAGAGGTGTTCCTGGGGACTTGGCCCCAGGGGATTTGGTAGACTCCTGGCCAGCTCCAATTCTTGCTAACAGGGAAATGAATTTGGAGGAGACTGAAAAGAGTAGAAGGGAACCAAATGAGACAAAGTGGATGCTGTTCCAGTAGAAGGGGCAGGATGCGAGGATCATCTGCCTACTTCAGTAACAGTGGGGGTGTTCCGATTGAACATATGGGACAGATATGAGCTTCCTGTCATTTCTAGCATGGGCCTTTACTCAGGTATCCCAGGGGCAGCTCTAGTCACAGCTACACCACTCGGGTTGGCGGCCATGCTTCTGCCGGACCTGCTATCTTTCTCTTGTTGGATGTGCTTTGCTGATCTACAAGGCAGACAATGGGGATGAAGGCAGGGGTGTGGGGTAGGGAACTGCTCACTGTATTTCACTTAGCTCTCAGAATCCATCTAGAACTTGTTTCTGGATGGAAGTTCAATCATCTTAATAATTGTGTTAGTTTCCAGTGGCTATGTAACAAATTATCACAAACTTACTGGCTTAAAACCATGCAAATTTATTATCTTATGGTCCTGGAGGTCAGAAGAACAAAATGGATCTCACTGATCTAAAATCAAGGTGTCAGCAAGGCTGTGCACCTTTCCGGAGGCTGAAGGAGAATCCATTTTCTTACCTTTTGCCACCACATACCTTGTTTCATGGCCTGTTCCTTCAAAGCCAGTCATGGCTGGTCACATCACATCACTCTGACATTCACTCTTCTGCCTCCCTCTTCCTCATTTCAGTTCTCTTGTGATTGCACTGGATAATCCAAGATATTCTCCTCATTTTAAAGCCAGCTAAGTGGCAAGCTCAGTTCCATCTGCAAACTGGATTCCCTTTTGCATGTAACCTAACATTTCATAGTTTCTAAGGATTAGGATGTGGACATCGCTGGGGGATCATTATTCTGCCCACCATGATAAGAAGCCCTCACTTTCTTCAAAGCCCTTTTAAAGACCTCATTTGACCATAAAAATGCCTGTGAAACAGGTGACTAGGTGGGATTATCCCCTTTAATGAATAAGAAAGCTAAAATATGAGTCAAAAAATTAAAAAAAATAAAACTTGCATGGGTCCAACCCCAAGTTTACTTTGTTTGTTTTTTGTTTGTTTGTTTAAGATGGAGTCTTGCTCTGTTGCCTAGGCTGAAGTACAGTGGTGTGATCTCAGCTCACTGCAACCTTCACCTCCTGGGTTTGAGCAATTCTCCTGCCTTAGCCTCTGAGTAGCTGGGATTACAGGTGCATGCCACCATGCCTAGCTCATTTTTGTATTTTTAGTAGAGACTGGGGTTTCACCATGTTGGTCAGGCTGGTCTCGAACTCCTGACCTGAGGTGATCCGCCCGTCTCAGCCTCCCAAAGTGCTAGGATTACAGGTGTGAGCCACCATGCCCAGCCCAAGTTTACTTTGAAATAGAGGGTGGAACGTAGTTAAGCTATGGGCCATGGTGTTTAGGGTTTTATTGTGGTTATTGCTCTAGATGACAATGCCTGTCAAAGAGGAGGGATGTGGGGAAAGTATGGACTTGTATGACTAGCTGTCAGACCTGGATTCAGATTTTATGTTCACACAAACTTGATCTGACCATGTCCTTTTCTCCTCGAGTTGGTGAGTCCCTGTTTTTGCCTTCCTGGGTGGCTTTGAAAATGATCAATATCCGGCCAGGTGCAGTGGCTCAAGCCTGTAATCCCAGCACTTTGGGAGGCCGAGGCGGGTGGATCACAAGGTCAAGAGATCGAGACCATCCTGGTCAACAAGGTGAAACACCGTCTCTATTAAAAATACAAAAATTAGCTGGGCATGGTGGTGTGTGCCTGTAATCCCAGCTACTCAGGAGGCTGAAGCAGGAGAATTGCCTGAACCCAGGAGGCGGAGGTTGCGGTGAGCCGAGATCGCACCATTGCACTCCAGCCTGGGTAACGAGCGAAACTCTGTCTCAAAAAAAGAGAAAATGATCAATATCACAGTTTTAACACAGATAACTACTGTAGATAGGTATGACCCAAATGCAAAATTACTTAATTTATTAAAATGAATGTCATAGAAGGATGCTGAATGGAGAATAAAAACCATGGCCCTGATATTGACATTGCTGAATTTTCTATGAAGGAGGAATGACAATTTGTAACAAGCAGGCAATATATGGACAAACTCGTTTTAAAATATAGGATGAGTTTTGAGAAAAAAAAAAAAAAAAACTTAGAGAACCTATGATACTTAGGACAATCCTAAAAGCAACTAGTAAAGAGAAATTTTAACAGCCGTTATGACTGCCATTCAAGCATACATGGCCGGACTGTGTGGTTCTCCCAATAAGCTTAATTCCCTCTGCAGCTTGACTAGGAAGCTCAGGACTTGGATCCTGAATCTACAGAAATAAAGGAATAAAGAAACAAAAATCTCCAACCTAGAAGGGGGTGGATTTAAAAGGTTTACACTGAGCTGCTGTTTGCTAACACTTCCTGTTTTATTCTTTTTTATTTTGGAGTGGAATTAAAGACTCCTCCAACCTTAGCACAACTTCTCTGCTCAGGAGTCAGATTTTAAAACAATAAAACAAGACACACACACACACACACACACAGGAACACCCTAATGGGGTGCTTGATTGACTTTTAGTCAATAATACAGGGATGTAGACTTTTAAGCCAAGAATTTAACTTGAAAACAAAGGTGACTTCCATGGACACCCTTGCCAGGTGACTCAAGGTTAGCAGCACACATAACATATATCCCCGAGGTTTGAAAATGGTAAATGTACCCTGGAATGACCCAGCATCTCAGAAAGCAATTATAATAAAACATTCCTAGGGCGGGTTTTCCCCAAGGATGAGTAATGCCTTTGACTCTTCATCTTCTAACTCCAAAGAATTGCTGTCTCAAATAGTTAAAATGACAAGGGAAGGAATGTTTTCGTTGGAGAGTCCTAACACTGTTTCCAGCACATTTTTCCATTTGTCTGACTGCTCTTGGCCCTGAATGGAGTCGAAGGTGGAGTTTCTCTACTGAAATCATAAAAATCTCTTTATTGGCATGTGTGCATTCAGAGCTGCTCTTCGTATTGCTCATGTTATTAGCTGCAGCTGGGTTTGCTGTGAGCAAATTGTTTTTGTCTTTGGTGAGGATCACATGTTGACTCATGACTGCCTGTAGACTGTGACTGGAGTGAGCATTTTAGTGAGGAGCTTAGTTATTCTTGTATCTTTGTTGTGTCTTTTTCACTCTTCAATCCATATGCTTATTTGGGCTTGCTTGCAAAAGGAAGAAATATTTGGTTCATTCCATTTTATGCAACAAAGGCAAAAGCTTACTGGGGGCTTGGGAGGTGTTTTTATGACATAGGGAGCTGTTTTCATGACCTAGCAGACTGAAGTTTTCTGAAGAAATTTGGCAAGCCTTAGGTATTACTAAATTTTTGTGAGATAAGGAGTGTACTTGTGGCCCACTTTAAGCTCTATTAAAAAAATTTTAAATATCAAGTCAAAAATAAAACAAAAACCTTGCGTCAAAATGTTATTAGGCAAGCCTGTACATTTGAGATCCACAGTCTTTACATATATTAAATCAGGAATCAGTCAGCTGGGCATGGTGGCTCAGGCCTGTGTACTTTGGGAGGCCAAGGTGGGTGGATCACTTGAGGCCAGGAGTTTAAGACCAACCTAGCGGAACGATCCAAGATGGCCGATTGCTAACATCTCGGGATTGCAGCTCCCAGTGAAACCTCAGAGAACAAGAGGACGCCACACTTTCAGACAAATTTTGGTCGCTCACGGAGCAGAAGATTCCCAGTGGAGGAGCTCTACGGGTCACCAGCGCGACTCTTGTGGCTGGCACAGCGGTTTTGCCGGCACCTCGGCGCAGCAGCTTTCGGTGCAGAGTAAATGGGACTGGATCCCCTTCTGACAGAGGTTTGGAGGAGCCACACTGGTCGCCACTGCGACTCTTGTGGCTGGCGCAGCGGTTGTGCCAGCACCTCGGCACGGCAGCTCTAGGTGCAGAGTAAACGGGACTGGTTCCCCTTCTGACCGAGGTTTGGAGCTCCGGGAAGGCAGAGTCACCTATTACGGATTCAAGAAGGAAGCCAGACTGGAGATTCCCAGGCAGAAAAGCACCATCAGTTTTAACGCCGCTGTTTTGGCCGGTGCAGTGGGTTGCTCATATTTTGGCCATGGGAATTAACAGCTTGGACATCCACTCAGAGACCTAATTTGAAAGTTGGTAATTACAAAGATGACAGGTGGATAAATTTACAATGACGGGAAGAAACCAGTGTAAAAAGGCTGAGAATACTCAAAATCAGAAAGCCTCTCCCTCCAAAGAGGATCACAGTTCCTCATCAACAAGGGAACAAGACTTGATGGAGAACGAGTGCATCCCATTAACAGAAGCAGGCTTCAGAAGATGGATAAGAAACTTCTGTGAGTTAAAAGAACATGTTGTAGCCCAATGTAAAGAAACTAAGAACTTTGAAAAAAGGTTTGACGAAATCCTAATGAGAATAGACAACTTAGAGAGGAATATAAGTGAATTAATGGAACTGAAGAATACAATGCAGGAACTCCGAGAAGTATGCACAAGTTTAAACACTCAAATTGTTCAAGCAGAAGAAAGGATATCAGAGGTCGAAGTCCAACTTAATGAAATAAAACGAGAAGACAAGATTCGAGAAAAAAGGATAAAAAGGAATGAGCAAAGTCTCCAAGAAATGTGGGACTATGTGAAAAGACCAAATTTACGTTTGATAGGTGTACCTGAATGCAATGGAGAGAATGAATCCAAGCTGGAAAATATTCTTCAGGATATTATTCAGGAAAATTTTCCTAAACTAGCAAAGCAGGACAATATTCAACCCCAGGTAATACAGAGAACGCCACAAAGATATTCCTCAAGAAGAGCAACCCCAAGGCACATAATCGTTAAATTCACCAGGGTTGAAATGAAGGAGAAAATACTAAGGGCAGCCAGAGAGAAAGGTCAGGTTACCCACAAAGGGAAGCCTATCAGACTTACAGCAGATCTCTCAGCAGAAGCTCTACAAGCCAGAAGAGAGTGGGGGCCAATATTCAACATCCTTAAAGAACAGAACTTTCAGCCCAGAATTTCATATCCAGCCAAACTAAGCTTCACAACTGAAGGAAAAATACAATCTTTTATGAACAAGCAAGAACTCAGAGATTTTATTACCACCAGGCCTGCGTTACAAGAGCTTCAGAAAGAAGCATTACACACAGAAAGAAACAACCAGTATTAGCCTTTCTAAAAATATACCGAAAAGTAAAGAGCATCAACATAAAGAAGAATTTACATCAACGAATGGATAAAACAGCCAGTTAACATCAAATGGCAGTAATCCTAATTTTAAATCGACTAAATCCCCCAATCAAAAGATACAGCCAAAATCCAGACCCATTTCACATGCAAGGATACACAAAGACTAAAAAAAAAGGGATGGAAAAAGATTTACCAACCAAATGGAGAGCAAAAATAAATAAATAAATAAAAAGCAGGAGTTGCAATTCTCGTATCTGATAAAATAGATTTTAAAGCAACAAAGATACAGTGGTAAAAGGATCAATGCAACAACAAGAGCTAATGATCCTAACACCCAGATACATAGAGACTTAGACTCAATGAGACAGAAAATTAATAAGGATATCCAGGACTCAAACTCAGATCCGGAACAAGAAAACTCAATAAATATTTATAGAGCTCTCCACTTTAAATACACAAAATATACATTCTTGTCAATACCACATCACACCTACTCGTAGGTTTAAATGAAACATTGATTGGCTATTATTCATACCCATTTTTTTTTAGAATAAAGCAACATTTCTGTTCTCTCTCCCTCTTTTTCTTCCTCTTTCTTCTTCTCCTTCACTCCTTTTTTTTTTTCTTTCCTTCTTTCAAAAAAAGAAAAAATCAACTTGTAGACCTCTAGATCCAGTTCGGCAATGTCTTTCTCATTGCTTGATTTCCTTCCTTCCCTTCTCTCCCTCCCTTCCTCCCCTTCCTTCCTCCCTTCCTCCTTTCCTCCCTTCCTAAAAAAAAGACCAACCTAGCCAACATAGTGAAATCCTGTCTCTAGTAAAAATATAAAAAAATAGCTGGGTGCGGTAGCATTTGCCTGTAATCTCAGCTACTCAGGAGGCTGAGGCACAAGAATTACTTGAACATGGGAGACAGAGGTCACAGTGAGCCAAGATTGTGCCACTGTAGTCCAGTGAGACTCTGTGTCAAAAGAAAGAAAAGTAATCAGTGAGTTCCTTATTATTTCTGTGGGATCAAAAACTGATTTCAGAAAATTAAAGTCTGATGTGTGTGTGTGTGTGTGTGTTTTTTTTTTTTGGCAGAATCTCATTTTTGTTACCCAGGCTGGAATGCAGTGGCACAATCATGGCTCACTGGAGCCTCAACCACCCAGACTCAAGAAATCTCCCACCTAAACCTCCAGAAGAGCTGAAACTACTGGCATGTGCCACCATGACTGGCTAATATTTTTATTTTTTGTAGACACAGTGTCTCACTATGTTGCCTAGGCTGGTCTCTAACTACTGAACTCAGGAGATCCTTTCACTTTGGCCTCCCAAAGTGCTGGGATTATAGGCATGAGCAACAAGTCTGATAGATTTTAAAGTCTTATTATAAATATTGAAGTATAAACACTGAGGAAGACTTAGTAATTTCTCATATTTTAAAGCTTACAATTTTAAAACACTTTGGATCATAGATTCAGAGGGCTGTAAAGGAGTCAAGCAGTTATGAAGTTGTGGCAATGGTTTTCTTATTTTTTAATTTTAATAAACAGAGAAACAAAAAAGTATGTGGGTACCTTAACTGGTATAGAGCAAGCAGAGACTCAAATGGCATGGTGGCTCGTGCCTGTAATCCCAGCACTTTGGGAGGCCAAGGCAAATGGATCATCTGAGGAGTTTGAGACCAGCCTGGCCAACATAGGTGAGACACTGTCTCTACTAAAAATGCAAAAATATTAGCCGCTGGTGTGTGCCTATAATCCCAGCTACTCGGGAGGCTGAGGTAGGAGAATTGCTTGAACCCCGGAGGCAGAGGTTGCAGTGAGCTGAGATGGTGGCACTGCACTCCAACCTGGGCAAGAGAGCGAGACTCCATCTCAAAAAAACAGACAAACAGACAAACAAACATAAAAGCCTCTTGAGTGCAGGAACAGTATCTTACTCATCATAGAATCCCCTGTGCCTGCCATGCAATAGAACCTCAATTAGCTGGGCATGCTGGAGTGTGCCTGCAGTCCCAGACACTTGGGAAGCTGAGGCAGGAGGATCGCTTGAGCCCAGGAGTTCTGGGCTATAGTGCACTATGCCAATCAGGTGTCCACACTAAGTTTGGCATCAATATGGTGACCTTCTAGAGTGGGAGACCACCAGGTTGGAAATGGAGCATGTCAAAAACTCCCATGCTGATCAGCAGTGGGATCACTCTGCACTCCAGCCTGGGCAACACAGCAAGACCCTGTCTCTATTTAAAAAAAACACACACACACAAAAACCCTCAATTAATTTGTAGAACTGAGCTGTGTAAGAAAGCTTTGGAATTAGACATGCCTCAGTTTGAGTCCCAGTTCTGCCAATTACCAGCTAGATGATCTTGGTTAACTTATTAGAATATTCCATTTTTCTTATTTTAAAAATGGGAAACGGTATTATAATGTTAATATAATATACAAGTATTATAATACCTTATAGTAGTAAATAAGATAGCACATAAAAGCACTTAGCATTTCACAAGGACCTACTTCAGCAAATGGCAATCTTTCAAATTAATCTACCAAAGGGTTTTCCCATTAAAAAAAATTTATCAAATATACATCTCTTTAACTGCCAGTCAGCTTTGATCAACATGAAATGACTGAAGATAATGCTCTGAGTTAGTGAAATTCCAACCAAAGGCAAAGAAACCCTCAGACTTTTTAGTTTGCTTGCTGGCCCTTTCCATAGGTAAACATAGATTTTTAAAAAACGATGGTGGGGGGGCGAGTGTGGTGGCTCACACCTGTAATCCCAGCACTTTGGGAGGCCAAGGCAGGCATATCATGAGGTCAAAGGATAGAGACCATCCTGGCCAACACGGTGAAACCCCATCTCTACTAAAAATATAAACATTAGCTGGGCGTGGTGGCACTCGTTTGTAGTCCCAGCTACTCAGGAGGGTGAGGCAGGAGAATCACCTGAACCTGGGAGGTGGAGGTTGCAGTGAGCCGAGATTGTGCCATTGCACTCCAGCCTGGTGACAGAGTGAGACTACATCTCAAAAACAAACAAAAAAACAATGAGAGTAGCTTTGGACCTTTTTTTGACACTTTCCTTGGCCCCTGAAGTCTGAGGGTCCAAGGCTGAGCAGTATTTCTGCTTTGCCTTCTAGATTGAACAGGTCTAAATCAACCTAAATGCATCTTTAGAGCATGTATTTAGAGAGAAGGAGCACTGCAGAGTAAAAAAGCATGATCTTTGGAGCCAGACAAGGTTAGGTCTAAATCTTGTCTTCTGGTTACTTGCTGTATGACCCTGAGCAAGTTCCTTAACTTTTTGGAGTTTTAGATTCTGTAAAATGGGAATAAGATCTGCCTTACAGAGTTGTCATGAGAATTGAATGGGATATTGATAAAGTCCCAGGATACCACCTGGCACATAGCAGGCATTTAATTAAATGGTGGCTGTTACTTGCATAAATTTTAAGGATCCAGCAAAATTTGAAGATGTATCTTAATATAAAAGTGGTTATTGGTTTTAAGATTAGGATTCTTTTTCATGCCACAAAGATTCAAATATGAGTAAATGTGGCACTTCTATTTTGTAGAAAGTTTATGAAAAAAACTACTGTGTATTACGAACAGTAGGCAGGAGCTCTGAGTTCTAACAGCTTGCTTACTCCTTCACCTGTGCAAATTCAGTCAACATTACTACGTGCATAAGCACTGTCATATGCACTGGTGATACCATGAATAAGAGTGGTCCCTGTCCTCAAGATGCTCAGTGGTGACTATAGGAGAAACAACTATTCAGATTTCCATAGAAGATAT